AAAAACCCCCATCAAATATGCACAGCTTGTGAAGCTCAAAACCCATCTGGCTTTGCCAAAAGATTACTCTTCATATCAGCATGTCATCTGTGCATTTCACAGGCTGCACATATAAAAACTCTAAGATAACTGTTATTTTGGGATGTTTATCTACAAGGCTAAATTATACTGCAAATGCTATCGGTGCTTTGCTACAGGAAATGTAACTGGTCTGTGTTGCTGTCCAGGTCCAGGATAGTTATATAAATGTCGGATGTTTGCCTGTAACCACTGCAATCAGGCATCATGAAATTAGTGATCTTGGCTCTGTTCATTGCTGGCGGTAAGATGAACATTTGTCTACTTCAAACTCAAAAAAGAGTTCAACAATTCTCTTGTACTTTAGCTCCTAAGCAGTGGAACGAGCAGGGATATCTTTCACATTTCACATAAATATGCATTGCAGCAAATTAACCTGAGCAGACATGTAATTTATCATTGTGTGTGCATGTGTGTTGTCTTGAAACAGCCTACGGTTGTGGGCAGCCCACTTATAAACCTGTCGCCTCAAGGGTGGTGGGTGGAACTGATGTTAAACCAAACAGCTGGCCATGGCAGGTATTGTGTATATTACACTGTAAAAAATGATGATTATTATTTTTTTTAAGTTTATTGTACATTTTACAAGAAAATACTGCGGTCATTCTACTAACAAATTGTTTAATTCAATGTGTTACTTGCAATTTTTGTAACTAATTGTGAAATTTATTAGCAATTTCTGAGTGAAAACTCTTTCTACACCATTTTTTCCTGTATACAGTTAATTAAAATTATCCTAAAATGCTCTGCCATTAATAATTGCACACACAGAAATATGTAATGATAATTCTGAAATTATTTCGACTGTATTACTAAATGCACTGAAAGGAGCTTCAGTTCAACACTCTTTACCTTCTCAATTTCAGGTGTCTCTCCAGTACCAGAGTGGCTCCAGCTTTTACCACACTTGTGGTGGCACCCTGATCGACAAGCAGTGGGTTTTGACTGCTGCTCACTGCATTGGGTACGGTCAAAAGAATGCAATGAATGTTTCCATGAGTTGATCTGCATTATGAGATGGACTAAAACTGTGTCTTAAACTTCTGCCAAGCAGCAGCCGCACTTACAGAGTCTACCTGGGCAAGCACAACCTGGCACTCAGCAGCGAGTCCAGCTCTCTCGCCATCTCTCCTTCTCTCCTTCCAGGATCATAGTGCATGAGAACTGGGATTCCTACAATATCCGGTTGGTCCTCATTGAATTTTAATGTATGGGAACAAAAGTCTAATCTAAGAGTGTGTTTTTGATGCATATGTGTGTTTTTCAGCAATGACATTGCCCTGATCAAGTTGTCGACTCCAGTGACTTTCTCTGACAAGATTTCACCTGCTTGCCTGCCTAATTCCGGCAGCATTCTGCCACACAACTTCTCACTGGCTTGGGACGCCTCTGGAGTAGGTGCCTTTCCACTGCTATTTACTTATTTTCAAGCAAAAAAAAAAAAAAAAAAATCTTCTCAAAGTAGTAACTTTTGTCTTTCTCTCTCCTCAGCCAATGGCCCCATTGCTGATATGGGGGGCTTTGCTCCCTGTTGTGGACTACGCTACCTGCACTAGGTCTGACTGGTGGGGCAACCTTGTGACCAACCTCATGGTGTGCGCTGGTGGAGATGGAGTGGTGTCCAGCTGCAATGTGGGTTTGATGCACACTTTTTATTTATAAGTGTTTATATTTTGATATTACATTATCAGTAACCAGTATTTGTGAAAATGCACACTATTAATGATATCTCACTTGTACAGGGTGATTCTGGTGGCCCTCTGAACTGCCAGAGAAGTGACGGCACCTGGGATGTTCACGGTATTGTGAGTTTTGGCTCCAGCTTGGGCTGCAACTACCCCAAGAAGCCCTCCGTCTTCACCCATGTGTCTGGCTACATTTCCTGGATCAACAATGTGAGTATACGTTATAAACCTGTTGGCCTTTTTCTGAACACATGCCATCTTTTCACATTTCCTGTTGACATACATTTAAGACATACTCAGATATTTAAACTGGCCTCTTCTTTTTCAGGTGATGACCTCTTATTAAAGTGTGGAAGTTGTGGTTATTTCAAAATCAACAACAACAACAACAACAACAAAACAAATGTGTAATCAAAAAGAAGAAGAAGAAGAAGAAGAAGAAGAAAAACATTAAAAAGCATTATTTTCCCCTTCTTTTTGTTATGGTTGTGTTTGTATTACCATTGGCATAATCTAGATATTTCTCCAATTATAGGCTTATCTATTTTAGATTTGGATTGTAGTGTAGTGGATTGCAATGTCACATCTAGATGTGACAAACTTTAATATTTGCTAGGGAAAGCCTAGTATGAATGTCTAAAATAGTGTAATAAGATTTAAGTGTCATTATACACTTACACGTCACACATATTGTGTTTAAAACTGTTACCTCACACCACCAAAATACACTGGCTTTCGGACGACAGAAAATTACTTACGGAAATTCCTCTGGAAAAAAGTCAATAATAAGTGCAGAAAATGCATATTTTAAATGTGAAAAAAATTATTTAATTTATTTTGACAACGCGCCCCGAGCCCACGTTTCCACGGCGGAAGATTGGCGTCTGTTCACCCCACTAACAGAGAACATTCATTATATATAGATCAGTGGTTCACCCAGACGGAACGGTCTGCACGCTGGGTTAAGGCGGTGCTCCACGGCTCTTGATGTTACCATGACACTCGTACACAACTTATTTAGACCGTAACATGCCTTTGAGCAGCCGGGTTGTACACAGTTTGGACAGATGAAAACTCATACTGGTGAGTTGTAAAGATAATCAACGCAATCTATAAAAATGCTGGTGCCTATTATATTTATTGCAAGTAACTTAAAGTTTTAAAAAAGACGCGAATATGGAGACATGAATACCAATTTAACAGAAAGCATCAGTGTACATACATTCAACGCTATATATATTATTTACCAGATTACAATTTCTATTTCTTTAGCAGGTTGAAATGAGGGGTTACCTCAAAACTTTAAACTGGGTATTTAAACTGCAGCCTAAAAGCACTACTATAGGAAGACACAAAGACTCTGACTTCTGTCTACAGGTATTAGGCCTAATCCTCATTTCTTTCCAATGTGTCCACTCATTATGTCAGTTCACATGGTTATTCATTCAACTTTTAATTATTCATCATGATGAGATGATACTCTTATACTGAGTATGACATACGGACTTGTCACTGAGAGGACATTCACACAAGTGTTTCTCATCTCATCTGCTCAGAATAGTGGGGTGGATGAATGTCATGCCACTATTGACTGGTGTGAAGCAGACGGCTGCTATGTTATCCGTGACTTAAACTCTGCCCACGGGACCTACGTCAATGACTGCCGGATACACAATGCCACTGTGCGTCTCTCTCCGGGAGACCAGCTTCACTTTGGCTACGGAGGATCAACCTATGAGCTCTGCATTGACAGCGAGAAATCAGTAAAATTTATGTGTTTGAAAAGATAAATGATATTGTGTCCCTTTGTTTATATTTTATTTCAGTAGCATTTTTTAAAATTGATTTAAGTTCAAGTTCAAAGACAGAAAATATTACAATGTAGACTTACAATGTACAGATTCAAATTTTTATGAAATTATTAAATATTATCTTCTATAATACATCAAATTATATAATATCAATCTAATCTTTATATAAAATATACAAAAAGTTTTGTCTCACTCCCAAACAGTTTCCTCTTCTGGCTGCCCATTCTCCCATTCCCCAGGCCTGGGTACGAGCTCGGACCACTTCTGTTTCACCCCATCCTCCCACCAGACCTCGCCCCATGAGTGCCGGGTCTAAACGGGGTCCAAATGCACTTGATCGAAAAACCCAATCTAGCAGACCAGGTAAAGTCTTTTTCAGCACACAATTTTTTGTCAGTCAAAATTGAATTTTACCTCATTATTACCTTTTAATTATCCCAAGTAGAAAGAAAATGGCCAAAATAAACCATGGGGGAAAAATGGGGGTTTAGAAAAGTTTGTTGATTTCGTTAATGAAAATAAAGCTGAAATAAAGCAAAATATAAATATTAGGAATTAGTGATGTTGCCTTGTAACTGAAATACTTTTAGGACGAAGCACTAAGATGACTAACTGACAATAAATAAAAACTGAAATAAAACTAAAACTGAAACGAAAATAATATAAACCTAAATATTAACATAAAAAAATAATACAAATGACACAACAAAATTAATTGAAATTAAATGAAAATTAAAAAAAAAATAAATAAAAGCTCATTCAAAATATTAATAAAAGCTATAATAGTACAATATATAGCTAATACTAAAATAACACTGTGCCAAATTGATGGGAAAGTGAATAATAATTTTTATTTTGGACTGCTTTTTTTTTTTTGCAGGAAGCCGGAGTTGTAACACAGGGAGAGCATGTTATCTTAGAAGTAAGACTCAACCTAACAATTCTCAAAGCATTCACGTCTTCCCAATGGAGGAGGTGAGTCCATCATCCTGTTAAAAAACACCCAAGTCTCCCTTTGCTGGACCAGTCATGCTTGTTATGCCATCTTGCAGAGCTAAAAGGCTTAAACAATACACTGACAATTGTGTTCTTTCTGAGGAGGAGAGGGTGCATCGGCTAGGAGATGGACACGTTCATGTGTCTGTGTGCTTTGAGGATGAGTCCCAAAGGAAGGATGATGCGATCGTGGCCCTGAAGGAGGAAGTGTCAGCTCTCAAGCTCCAGCTGTCTCAGAAGAAGCAGGGTGATCCAGATGTCACATACAGACTTTGCTGCCTGGAGAGAGACATCAAAGAGAAGAAAGATCAGATACAACAGCTAAAGCAGCAGGTGTGGTATTACACAGTCTCCTTTGTTACTTTACATTTGACATTATTTACAGTTTTGGGACTGTGATGGATAAGGCAGCAGCCTCAGGAGCTAGAGATTGTGGTGGCTTCAAGTCCTACCTGGGTCATCCCCATCTTGAAGGGGTGTATGAAGAAACCTTCTGCAACAAACAGAAAATTTATTTTACATACTGCAATGCCTCAGGTAGGACTTGGAGTCACAATCTTGAGTGCTACAGGCTGAAGTCTTAGGGGCTGTTCACCCAGAACGTGTTTTTGCTTTGAAAAATGCTAGATGTGGGCAGTGAAATGAGAAAAAAAACACAAGGTATAGAGACATATTTTTTTTAAAAGTTGACCTTTATCTATTTTAACTTGAATGCTGTTTTTTTAGAATGCTGTGTCGTGTGCGTCAAGCGCATGTTCACATAGAAAAACGATGGAAAAGTAGTATAGTGATTAAAGTTTCATTATTTATTTTAAGTTTTAATTCAAGAGAAACACAATTACACTATTTGATGAAGCTGTATCTTCTCTCCTGATAATCCATCGGAAATCTTTCATATGCTAATTAATTATTACCGTAACTGCTTTATCTCTATAATGGATGTAGATGCTGGAACTTCAGAGATGTTCTGGAGAGATGCTGGGACAGGCTGTGACAGAAAGAGATCAGAAGATCAGCAGTCTTTTAGAACAGATGGATAAACTGAAGAATGAAAATAATTCATCTGCAGGTATGAAGATGATAATATAGGGGTGATTTACTGTATAGGTTATTCACATTGCTGTAATGTAGAAAAAATTATGATACAGTATATTGATCATTTACTATGAGAAGTAATAAGATATTATTATATTTACATTTGTATGTATAAAAGTGCAGTTTTAAGTATATACAGTATACTATTATTTTGTTGTACTTCCTTTAATATACAGTTCAAAAGTTTGGGGTGTGTAAGATTTTCTTTAAAAAAATGCCTTTATGCAGCAAAGATGCATTATATTGGTCAAAATTGAAAGCAAAGACATTTATAACATAATTACATAAAAACAAAACATAACATAACATAAAACATAACAACATTACATATAATATAATATTTACAAAAGATTTACTTTCAAATAAATGCTGTTCTTTTTAACTTTATATTCATCAAATAATCCTGAAAAAAACATCAATATCAACAACACATCAACAATATTACTGTTTTACTGTATTTATGATCAAATAAATTCAGTCTTGGTGAGCACAAGAGACTTCCTTTAAAATGATTTAAAAAGTCTTACCTCCTCCCAACTTTTGATCATTTGTGTAATATAGAGATGCATTGTTATATTATTGTTGTGGAATTATCAACAACATATTTGTTACATACAGGCACCATCTTGTTAGATCTGAGCAGTTAGTTACCTTGTGTTTTGTTTCAATTTTTGATTCAGCATTGGTTAGCAGTTTGAAGAAAGATGTGTCTGCTCGAGAGAAACAGGCTCTTAAACTAGCAAGTGAGGTGGACAAGCTCAGACAAGACGTGAGACACAAAGATACCAAGCTCACAAACGTGATGGACAAGGTTCCAGCTTCCCTCTCTTTCTACAGCCCATTGAGCTCTGTAGATGTAATGATGCCGTTTTTATTATTTAAAATGTTTTATCAATAAAAGATAACTATTCCTTTTGTTTGGTGTTGTTTTAAAAGCTGAAAGACACCCAGAAGCATCAGAATGAGCTACTTGCCAGACAGAGTGAGGTAGAATTGCTCAAGAAAGTAAGTATGTTTGGCTTCACTCACATCCAGTCCTGATTTCCACACAATTTCATAAACAGACAGTTTTTTAGACACCACAACCCAGGTGGAACTTGAACCCACAATCCCCAGCTCCGGAGGCTGATGCCTTATCCATTAGGCCACTGGGCCCGGTAATCCCTGCATGTGTCATGAGTCTATTCTTCATGTGTGATGTGTGCTGCAGGAACAGGCTTCTCTGCTGACAGAGATAGACAGACTGAAGCAGCTTCATCAGCAGACACAGCAGAGAGTACAGAAAGTTCAAGCAGAACTCAAACACACACAGTCAAGGGTGAGTAAGCTCAAGCCAGCAACAACAGTCTGGTAAGGTGACTACTCTGGCATCTATTACGCTAACATTTCTGAAATTTCTTCAAAGTTTGACAGTTTTCGCGACCAGATCATCAAGACTGTGCATGTCTCAGACAAAGAATCAGACCAAAAGGTAAGAAAATATTTCAAGCCAATCAGAAGCCAGGTTTACATCCAGGGATAATTAAACTGACTTGAGCTGAATAATGACACTGTTATCTTCTGTAGAGCTGCTCTACAGCTTGATTTAAATAATTTCTTGATTTAAATTCATTCATTTCAATTGATGAATTTTACAACATTAACTGTTATTTTCCTGTTTGATTAATGTTGCTGCTTTGAAATAATTTGTTTTATTAATGTGAAGCTGCTTTGAACAATCTGTGTTGTATAAAGTGTTACATAAATAAATGTGACTTAACTTGAACTCGAGAATCAGATATAGTCAGGTTGACCACATTTATGAAATTTTTGTGGTACTTTTTTTTTGTCATGTTGTAGCTTGCCAGCTTCAGTCCATATTCTGTCATTATATTGAAAAGGTGGCCAGGATATTAAAAAATTTGCTGGTTTGGACAGATATGCGGGTGAAAAAACTCTAAACTTTTTTATGTTTGTTTTTATTTTGCAGGTGTTGGACTGTTTAACTGAGCTAATGGAACAGATGGAGATGTACAAAACTAAAGTGCATGACTTTGAAATGAAACTCAAAGAGGAAGCTCACACACAGAGGAAAATGTTGGATGAGACCCAGAAATTTAGAGCCAGACTGCAAGAATGTCAGGTATTAGTAGGTGGAAACATTAATTATGCCGTGTAATGTTGTATGTTTATGTTACAGCATTGCACAGCATTTTTTTACAGCTACAGTATATTATATCTCTTTGTATTTGTATATAGAGACGAGTGCAAGACGTGTGTATTGCGGACACAGTGCTGATGGAAATATCTGAACTGCAGGACATGAATTTGAGTCCTTCACTCAGCTGGGTTCAGGAGCATTCACTTTCTGTACTGAACCTCCTGCACAGAGTACTGCAGAATGCTGCTCAGAGCTTACAGACAGCAGGGGTTGATGTGTCATTTAAGACTGGAGGTAAGAAACAGAAAGTTTGAAGAAATTCAGGAGAACTGGGTTTAAGAATAAAAGCGACTACTTTCACTATCTAGTATTACAAATTAAGTTGAAGCATTATTGAATTTTCAATGCATTTTACAGAAAACTAGTCTGAATTATTGTTATTATTTGTTTTGTCTAGGAGTATCAGGTGCCTTACAGATTTTGTGCCAGGACCACATGGACGTCCAATCAGAGCTAAGGAAACTAAAGGTATTGCAGCAAAGTATTTAAAAATCAGTTAAATAATCAGAAAGTGATTCTTAAGAAATATATCTTTCTTTCCTTTACTGAAGTCAGAGATGCAACAGCTTCAGGAGACAGAGATGCAGAGCAGAGATCTTCACAGTAGGCTGGAGTTCATGCAAAAGCAGATTGAGATGGAGAAACTTCAGGTGCTGTTGTCTCGCTAAAAAACACCAAAAGTCAAATTAAACTCATTTCATTTAGTCTCTGAGGCATAGACCTCTTGAGGGATGGTCTCAATTAGATTGTCATTTAGCTTTTTCAGTTTTTATAATTATAGGTAAAACTCATCCCAGTTCCAATGGAAATTTTTTATATTAATGAAAGTGTTTCAGAGAATTGACTCTGAAACCACTGATGGACTGGATTATTTTCATGAATTGAACTCACTATCAAATTCTGTTTCACTGAAGTTTCTTCTAACCTTTGACCTATCAATCATTCAGGCAGCCGAGGGACAGAGAGAGATGAAAAACACACTAATGCGACAGCTGGAAGAGGTCATGGCTGATCTACAGTCAGTGAGACAAACTGAAGTGAGTTAAAGCTAAGAATTGAATTCATCCCCAAAAATGAAATGCAACTGACCTCAACTCTTAAAACATGCTCTATATCTATATTTGATCTGGTGTCTGAGAGCCTAGTTGCCAAGTATTTACCCATATGTGTTAGTTCCCAGCACATAACCATATTGTTTATTTGCTTCTACCCTTTTGACACATTAGAAAGTCCATTTCTGCCACATACAGTATGAATGGTTTGGTTAATCATAATGATGACAAAATAAGTTGAAAGTCACATTTTATATAATAATAACTATTACTTTTTAAGACATAATTATATCATAATTTTACTTGTATGTAATAATTATGACTTTTATGTAAATTTCGATTTTTATCTCATGATTATGACTTTTTATGTCATAATTTGAATGTTCCATCTCATAATTGTGTCTTAATATCTCATAATTTTGACCTTTTCCCAGTTTCCAGCACATGGCCATATTGGTTATCTCAGATATTATGAGCTAAAAGGTCAAAATTATGGCATAAAAAGTCTTAATTATGAGATAAGTAATAACTATGAGATAAAACTCATAAAGACATAAACAGTTAAATTGAGATAGTCATAACAAAATTTGTCTTTTTATGTTATAATTATGATTATAATAAATCAGACTTTTCATCTCAGAATTAAGACTTAGTATCTAATAATTTCCACTTTTTATGTCACAATTATGACATTTTATCTCATATTTTCGATTTAGCAAAGCAGGATGTTTTTTTCTTATGTGGCGGAAATGACCTTCCATAGGACACAGAACCACACAATGTTAGTTGTTCAACTCCATGACTGTCACTTTATCGCCTTCCTAGAGTGCCTTGCGCAGGGAGATTGAGACACGCAAGGCTGAGTGGCAAACCAAGATGGAAGAAGCCAAGATACGAGAGGCAGAGCTGAAAGAAACGCTGCGCGAATTACATCTCAAAGAGGAGGAGAGGAGCGAGAAAATGAAGCAGTGTGAGGAAAGAGAGGCGAAGGCCCTGCAGAGAGGAGCTGAAGAGGAGAGACAGAAACACAGGGTTGAGGTAGAGGAGTACAGAGAGCAGGTGCGACAACATGCATACACCATTGTTGCCATGGAGACGCGAATAAACAAAGCTCAGCAGAGTGAGGAAATATGGAAAGAGATGGAGGAGGAGAGAGACTCACTGAAGGAGCAACTCAAAGGTGAGCACAGCCTCTCATAAACGCGTACAAAAATAATTGAACTGAAACTAAATTGAAATAAATAAATTGAAAACAAAGAAACAATATGATTTCAAATGAATAAGAAGTATTTAAGATTCTGTAATATATTTTTAGATGATTATTTAAAATAACCAAATTTGTGATTGTACTGTATGGTTGAGCTCACCGGTTTTACATTGTTTTGATATACTGTAGTTTCATATGTTACCCATAGAGGGCAGTGTATCAACAGCCTTAGGTTCCTAATTAAAACTAGTCTGTGCAACAGATTTAATGTGTCCTACATATGTGTTCTGTGTTCATTATCAAGATTACCGTTGTTGTACTTGTCCCACAGAGGCGCTCGGCAGGCTGGAGGGCTTTGAAAGCAACAGCACATCTTACACATCAGAAAAACATCAGGAACCGGATCAAAAAATAACATCCCTCCGGTATAATAAAGCTCTCATAAATACCATCACTGCATTACCCATCATCCAAAATCTATGGTGTATATTATTATGGTAAATATTTAACCCATTTAGCCAGTAGGCCTGCTTCAGAAACCAGTTGCAAAAGCTCTGCGTAAGATTGTAACTTAGCAAATTATATATTGTATAAGTTACTGTGTAAAGCGATTTCCTTACTCTGTCGTCACATTCACTGTGAGAAGGATAATATCCATACACTGTGCCCTTGTTAATGAATAATGCATGAGGTTCATTCATGCATTACTTATGAAACTCAAAAAGCTGCAAATATGTCTTTTTCTACTTTCATTTATTTTTACTACACAATACTGTCAAACTGTCAAAATGCTAAAATCTCCTAAACAACTAAATTTTTTTAATTACAATGATAACCACAGATGCTTTTTTAAAAATTATTATTTATGTAGTGATTTTTTTTCATCCAAAAATTATCATTTTTTTTTTTTTAATTACAATGATAACCACAGATGCTTTTTTAAAAATTATTATTTATGTAGTGATTTTTTTTCATCCAAAAATTATCAGTAGTGTTTATTCTATTCATGGATGTCTTATTTTCACTAAACAATCTATACTGTACTCATATTGAATCTACTGTATTCAGGATATATTATTGTACATCAGAAATCTAACATGCAGTTTCTAATTGGTCCTGCAGGGCATCTCTAATCTCATCCCAACAGGAAGTGGTCAGTCAGAGTGAGATCATCAATGCCCTAGGTCGTGACCTGGCCCAGGCTCATGCTCGGCTCTCTGATATGACAGGTGCCGGACAGTCATCACAATTCAAGAGTCCTGCTACATTCTACATGTCGTAGCGTTTGTGTTTCTGAGCGTGTGTCTCTCTGTGTAGGAGAACTAAGTGAACAGCAGAAGTTAGAATTGGAAAGTCATAAAGCTTTGGTGGTAGACCAGAAGATTCAATTGAGCATGCTCACACAGAAGCTAACCATGATGTCACAACTAGTGCAACAGAAAGATGACGAGACAAAGAAACTGGGAGAAAAACTGAGGTATGACCAAAAATGACACAGTACAATGGCTTCACAAAAATTCAGACATAAACTTTGAATTATATAACAAGAAAATCCTTTTGTTAGACAAACTGAAGAGGATCTCGAAAGTAAAGCAGCAGCAAACAGAGAGATGGAGAACACAAGCCTTGTTCCACATCAAACCTCAAGAAACACTAAAGTGAGATTGGCACCAAACTGGACAAACATTTACCTTAACAAAATTGAATTGATGTATCACTTTTGACATGTAGAGGATAAATAAGCTTTCTTTTTTTCCTGAATATAAAAATGATTGAATGACAATAGGATATTGAAACATATTAGCTGAATGAGTCCCATTGAGGCACAAAATGTGCCTGATAGTAGTTTTTTTTTTTTAATCTATTCATCAAAGAATCCTGAAAATTATATTTAGCAGAAGAAACATTTCTTGAGCACCAAAATCAGCATATTTGAATGATTTCTGAAGGATCATGTGACTGAAGACTGGAGTAATGCCTGAGCTTTGCCATCACATGAATAAATTACATTTTAAAATATATTAAAATAGAAAACAGTTATTCTAAATTGCAATAATATTTCACAGTATTACTGTTTTTACTCAAGTTTTGATTAAAAACATGCAGCCTTGGTAAGAGGCTTCGTTCAAAAACATTAAAAAGTTTTACAGACCCCAAACTTTTGAACAGTAGTGTACATTCACAAGAAAAAATGGGCAACAAAGAGACCAAGGGGTCACACAAACACACTCTTAGATCACAAACAGACACTTGGCTAACTGTTATATGCATGCTGTTTTTTCAGGATGTGGCACTCATGACAGCTCCAAATGATGTCATCAATCAGGGGTCAAAACACAAAGGTCATCGCCGCGAGGAAGCGATTCTTCAACAGCAGGAAGGTTTGCGTGACATGAGAGAGCGAATCAGAGCTCTAGAACAGAAGTGGCCTAGCAGTGAGTCTTATAATCACTAATAACTAATGATCAAACCTTTGAATGTGGCGATCCTTATCTGATCTAATTTCAGGGCAACATTAACCTACATTATCACTTTTCTTCTATACTGTTTACAGAGCGTCTGTCCCAGCAGGGGGAGCCAGAGAAACAGGGTCAGATGAAGACTCAGAGACTTCAGAGATCTGCAGCTCGGAGAGGATCCATCAGTTCTGTGGTATTTGCTTTACACATTCTGAATTACCTATTGAATAAGAATATTTTATTGTAAAATTAGAATAAACATATTAGTCAACACTGGATGACAGTTATACTGTACACTTATTGTTATACAGTTTTAATCATTTTAATTATTATTTTTTTTGTTTAGTTTCCTAAATGTCATAATTAAATAATTCAAGTCAATTCAAGAAGTCATGAAGAAAATTATCAAATTTGGGCATACTTGAAGAGAATTTAAATTTATGGATGTAATATTTTGCTAAAAAAAAACCAATTACATTTCTTATAAATTCTAAATTATAATCACAATTTCACTAGTATCACTGAGCTCTCAAAATCAGTTTTCAAAGTGAAGAATCTGGTCAATTCAGACCAAAATTGTATGACACGGGGACATTTAAAAAAGGCGGTCAACTGACTCAAAATTCTCATTACAAAAATTTGAATTCAAGTTATCATTACCAAACTGGAAGGTGATATCATTATACTGAATAAGAATATATTCAAGATTCTGCACCATTTTAGATCACTTATCAAATAAGCAAATTTTTGACACTGACCATGTGAACCATTTTAAACTAAAAGTCAGATGTTCCTGATTCCATTAAAGTTCAAGATGCTCTTTGGATCACTCTCAAATGCTAAAGAACATAATTATCAGTTTCACCAAACTTAAATATATAAATGGTCTCAGACGTTTGTACGTGTATGTTACTGTGTAGTGTGTTATACATGTGCTTATTTGATTCCTGCAGAGTGGTTTTGCGTTCCCTGAAGCTCTGACCGAGGCAGCACGAGAGCGTACAGCCAGACTGGACATGTCTGATGCTCTGGAGCTCAGCGAGAGAACAGTGAGTGACGTGCGGCACATACGCATTCAAACTAAATTGTGTGAAACATGCATCTGTGGCACTGAGATTGTGCTCTATTTTGAGTTTGTTTTAGTGAATCATTAATGAATCATTATTTTTCGTCTTTGGTTTAGTACCTGGAGCTAGTGCACGTTCTGCATGAGGCCCTGGAGCTCAGCGACGTTGAGCTGTCAGGATGTGCTAGTTTAAAGCACCTACCTCCTGATGAGAGACAGCACATAGTCTCTATGAGACAAACAGACCTGGAGTTTGTGAGAACCCGCCTTGATCTACAGAACAGACAAAGCCAACAGCAAGAGCTACTGCTGCAGGAGAACCAGAGAGAGATACACACACTCAGGTGCAAACAAAAGAAAAACGCGCTCATGACAAATAATTCCCTCTCTGTTTCTCAGTGTTTCAGAATTTTATATTACGATATTATTAAAAGAAACTAGAAACTCCCTCTCTTCCTCAGTATTCAGTGGATTTTCAATATATTTTTAGTGTTATGTTTAAAAAAAAAATAGAAAACAAATAATTCATATTTTATTTTATTTTATTTTATTTTTTTATTTTATTTTATTATGAAACAACTATCTTTCAGAGAGAGCCAGGTGCTGGAGTACCAGATGCAGGCCGAGCTTGAGAGTGTGAAGGCAGAACTGGAGACTCAGAGACAAGAGACGGAACAGCTTCGGCAGGCTCTACAGGACAGCATCAACCAGCTGCAGAGAAACCAGCAGGAACGCAGTATTGCCAACAGAAATAATAGGGTATCACACATACAAGCTCAGATAGAAAGCGAGAAAGTCTGACTGACACCAACTCTGTGATAGAGAGAGAGAGAGAAAAAAAACAGAACATCTTTTCCTGAACAAACTTACATGCGGCTTGCAAACACAAACAATTCTGACTTGTCCCTCAGTTTGAAAAAACAAACTATCCGGCAAATGCATGGATCCATGATGCTTTTACTTCCAAATTAACTGATTTCTTTGCCTATTTTAAGGCATGATTGATCAGTCAGAATTTTTTACATTTCAGACACACACTCTCTCTCCTGTCTCTCTATAGAGAGCCACCTTCAAGTGGTTCATAGTTCACCCAGTGTGATCTAAAATAAATACTTTCTCTACAGAGCCTTAGTACGGAGAGAACAGACAGAAAGAGTGGAAGAGTGGGCCATCACAACTGTATACCAAATGAAAGCTATGAAAAGGTACGCTCAGTGGCAACAGTGGATTGGTTTTGAATCAGTGCCCCGACGCAAGAGTGTGTTTGATCTCCAGAACATATGTAAGGTCTAAATCCATGCCGTCTGCCATAGGCTGCCTGGGGTTTTACAGAGACACTCCACACTGTGCAATTAATAGATTTTTACAGGAGCACCACCAAATTTGTTCTTTCCTGAGCTCATAATCTCACTGCTATAAATGGAGCTTGAATCTGTTCCTGTTCGTTTGATGTTAGATCCATTAAAAAATAGCACAGACAAAATACAAGAATGCATCTTTTTAATACTTTCGTCTGCCACAATAATATTATGTATTTGAATTATCTTCATTTGGGGGCTTTTCTTAGCAAATATTCATTAAAAAAATTATATGTCAAGCATAATTAATTTTATTGAAATGTGTAATAAGCATTTGACAGCCTTATTTTTTTTCTGTGTGTTCGCAGGCCCCAGCAGTGAAGAAACGGACCTCACAGATGAGACTGAAAAGGAGAGAGAGTGAGCTAGATAATCGAAAGAAAGAAATAGGGCAGAAACAGCAGATATGTTCAATGGTCTCTGATTTGGCCAATCCTCTGCAAGCTCCCGAGAGCTCCCAACTACCCCTGCTCACTGAGGCCCACTGACATGAACACAACTTAAGAGCATGTAGTATTATGCAACTGTGCTTTTTAATATTAAACAATGTTATAATATTTCCTAATTCTTGTTTCTCTCTCTATATGTGTGTGTGTGTGTGTTTATACAACAGAGTGTTGATATACAGTGGGTCTCCGCACTAGTAATGGGGGGATTTCAGTGAATCTTTCTGGAGGTTATATAATTTTGCCAGAAGGTGGCGACATGTGATTGTTTTTATGAGTGAGTCATTTGAATCATTCATTCAACCGATTCATTCACAAACGGATTCATTCTTGAATGAAACAAGTAACTGCTGCTTTTATGAGTGAGCCACTGAATCATTTACTCAACTGATTTGTTCAAAAACGCAGATTTAAGGTGCTTTCATGCCATTCACGTCCTCATAGAACTCTAATTACAACTTGTGAACTGGGGGTTTTCTGAGAGTTACAACTTGTACCACCTGACCACCTCAGATTCATGTTTAGGCATTGATAGTGCCATAGTTCCGAGCCCGAGGGTGTGAAGAACAGCTCCAAGTAGAACTACACGTGTGTAATCACATGGCATGAATGCAGCATAATCCCTGACTGAAACATTGAAGATACATTTTTAATTAATATTTTTATTTTTACATCACTCAACACTGGCAACGTTGTGGTGGTTTGGAATTATATCAGTAACATCACCAGTAAATCTATCTCATTTTAAAGACATAATATCTGAGGCATTAAAAGACATTCCTGTTCCCATTTAAATGAAAGAGTGCAAAAATCTGGTGTTTAACAACAAACATGCCTTTGGATTTAACATTAATCCACTGTGTGGGATCATTTCCCAACTGTTCCCAAGAATTACCTTAGTTCTTTTTGTTCCTCACATCTGTTCCTCATTTACAGAGCCATCTGACAACAGGGTAGAGATTCAGAAAAAAAACGGTGATGTATTACGTTAATACACTCAGTGCTGTGTAGACAGGCATCGTTTTGTCTGTATTACTGTCACACAACTCTGTTTGCTTGTTGTGGGTAGAGGAGAATAGAAGAACAGAATGGACAGTTTTCAATAAAGGAAGGCTCCTGGAAGTGATCATTAAATTTCATTATACAAGCAGATAGGATCACATTAGTCCATCTGAAGTACCCAATTTACATTTTATTTGTTGACCTTTTTTCTTTGAATGTAGAATCAGATTATCAGCAAAATACCAGTGGCCCCACATAATATTTAAAATGATCCTTGTCTTCCTCATTAGTGCTGATCACTATATCAAGTGGGTGGATGAATTCCAGCTGGCATCTGCTCCATTCAGACTGCTGGCATCAATCCAGCCCATTAGAGGATCAAGAGAGGAAAATCAGTTCATTTATTGAAAGAAGGTCCAATCCTTTGTTCATGGTAATTCAAATAGTACAAGCAATGCTGTGTTTCCCAAACTGTCTCCTTCGATTAGAGACTGCTTCCCTGTGGCAAAATGTTGGTATTGCATTATCAGCTGGTATTATAGAGTTTGATGCCTGTAACTGTATTGAACCCTTGAAATACAGTGGCCCAAAAAGCTCAATATATTGTCAAATATAGTGAGACTTTACCATATAGTACCATATAGTAGGACTAAATGGTTAATAGTTTTTTTTTTCAATTGCAGAGCAGTTTATGTATTTTAAGTCTCACTTTAATGTCTAAGTAGTTTTTTGGGGTCACTGTATATATAAATGTGTTTTAATTGTACTACCGTTCAAATGTTTTTAAATCGGTAAGATTTTAAAATGTTTTTAAAATAAGTCTGATTCAAAATACATCAAAAAACAATAATACTGTATTTTTTAAATTTAAAATAACTGTTTTCTATTTTAATATATTTCAATGCAGTTTATCCCTGTGATGGCAAAGCTGAATTTAAGTCTGATTCAAAATACATCAAAAACAATAATACTGTATTTCTTAATTTAAAATAACTGTTTTCTATTTTAATATATTTAATGCAGTTTATCCCTGTGATGGCAAAGCTGAATTTTCAGCATCATTACTTAAATCTTCAGTGTCACATGATCCGTCAGAAATCATTCTAATATGCTGATTTGCATCTCAAGAAGCATTTTTTTTTTATTATTATCAATGTCAAAAACAGTTGTGTACGTTTTTTTTCCCAGTATTCTTTGAGGAATAGGAAAGTTCAAAAGAACAGCATTTAGCTAAAATAGAAAGCTGTTGTAACATTATAAATGTCTTTACTGTTACTTTTTGATCAAATCAGGGTGGGTTAAGCACTGGAAAAATGATATTGTAAGGCATAATCTGTTTCTGTCATTGTTAACCATTGTTGGCTGTGTTTCGTTGGGTGTTCTGTGTATACATTCATATACATCCAAAAGTCTAACATCTGATGTTTTTATCTCATAGCCTATATAAAGACACTGACAGCATCCTATATCACAGACAGCCTCTGCTGAGGAGACTATAAAGGCAACTGAGTGTTGATTGACCATTTCATCAAAAGCTATTCTATCATTCACAGATATCCGGCTCTCCCCTGAGAGAGATCTGAAAGTATAGGCATTTTCTCATCCTCTCCCCTCATGAAAATGCTGATGATTTCAAGAAGGAGAATGACAGAAGCACTCTGAGAGGGTCCGTAAATAGCAGTGGGTAGTGAGGTTGATGGGCCTAGGAGTAGGGATGGATTTCTTAATGACCAAAATAAATGGCCACTCAATCCATCCACAAACACAGTTTGTCTTCACCTGAATTCTCCCCTGACAGGTTGTCCTCCCTAAACAAATGTTCACTGCTGATGTAGTGTGCCATGCTCGAGATTTATTGTGTGGTGTGAAGGAGTTAGTCTGTTCTGTCTAGACATATAATTCCTGCAGGTGGCACCACATACAGTCACACATAGATGTCACTGACACTATTATAATGTGAAGAACTCTGAAAAGTTAATGTAGTTTATTCTACTTCGTATGAATTCAGCTGAATACATTTGATTTTGGATTCTAGACATGTTATATATTTCATTCATTCACACCGCCAGTGCCAATTCTGCATTGTGTCACGAGCCTCAAGCACAACTTGCTAAACATACAGCACAGTTTTTGGTTCATTTTGAGTTGGACATGATGCAAAAGTAGGCTAATAACCTTGAGTCAAATTAATCCAGAGACAGCTCCGATTCACTAGAAAGACCCAGCTCATAAGAATCATTCACCCAATCGGGTTATACTGCATTTTTTGATTCACTACAGAGAATTGGCTTACCAGTTATGCTCACTGAACTATTCGAATGTTTTCTAGTGTAGATCAGTGGTTCTGCTGCATTCTTGTGATTCATTAAAAAGAATATACGGGAATTGGAATACACTGGTATGTTTCGTGGTATTCAGCGGTACAGTGTCACAATTTACATTACACGATCATCCAACATTTATTCCCACTTTGGTAGGCTACAGGGATCAGGAATTTTTAGATGAGATTTCATATAATTTGTAACATTTCATAATTATGTAATTTCATTATGATAATATGTGTTTATTCATCAGAGTGCTGATATAGAGTCTGTCTGTGCAATAATGGTGGGGATTTTTCGGTGAATCTTTCTGCATGTCATTTCGCCTGAATGTGAAGTTTATGAGTGAGTCATTTGAACCATTCATTCAACTGATTTGTAAACAAATGGTTAAACTCTGATTCATTCATTGACAAAACAAGTAACTGTCCTAATGAGAGAGACACTGAATCATTTACTCAACCGAATCATTCAAAACGTGGATAAATCCATGAATGAAACGAGTCTGTTGCTATGTCCTATATCGCATAGGATACAGTAGGTACTACATTTGGTTTGAAACTTACTTTGTGACCATTAAAAAAGTACATAGTATGAGTTAAACAGTAGCCTACAAAACTGAGATTTGTGACAGCGTCGATTAATTTGTTTTCATTGTTTTTGTCATGTCCAAGAACCTGTTACAAAAATCACAAGAACTGATTCTGAATCCTATTATTAATAGCATATGATCCCATGTCCACTGTAAAGGTTGCATTCCCTATGTTTTTCTGTGGAGGTGTCTTATCACGGCCCAAGTTGGGTGGTACTACTGTGGCATTGTGGAATCAGGGTGTGTATGTGTAAAATGTGTCTGAAAATGCCATCTGAAAGACTGGCTCCTCATTGTAGATAACTTTGTTCTTGGGGCCCTTAAGGATGACATCATGCTGGATGATCATACAGCAGCAGGAAGTGTTATCTGTGACATGTTCAGTCACAATAACCTCAAATGCCCACAAACACACATTTTCAGGCACACACACACTCCATCCTACTCTTTCCCAAAAGACTGCTTTTTATCTATACAAGACACACACACACCCATATCCAGAAGCAGTCCCTGAAACCTCGGGGGGATAAGTTGTGTTTGCAGTTAAAAAGGACTGTCTCCAACTCAGGGGTAGACATAGGTTTGTGGATATGGTAGAAGCTTTTGTTTTGGTAATCTGTGAAAACAAGTGGAATATATTTTATAACAGTCACTTGAGTATTTGAATCTGGATCCTTTGGCTGAACCCACTGAAAGTAAGTCTGGTATAATTTTATACTGTTGCATTGAGATTTAAGGAAATCTTAAAGGGGTCATATGATGCTGCTAAAAAGAACATTATTTTGTGTATTTGGTGCAATGAAATGTGTTTATGCGGTTCAAGGTTCAAAAAACACATTATTTTCCACATACTGTACATTATTGTTTCTCCTCTATGCCCCGCCTTTCTGAAACGCGTCAATTTTTACAAAGCTCATCGGTCTGAAAAAGCGAGGTGTGCTCTGATTGGCCAGCTATCCAGTGCGTTGTGATTGGCCGAATTCCTCAAGCGTGTGATGGAAATGTTATGCCCCTTACCATATTGTGATGCCGGCGGCAACCACATGTGACGACCCCGGGCTGGACTCCGCTTCGTCCATGGTGAAAGCCGATCTGGCGATCGACAGCGCGAAGTTGAAGTATTTCCTCAGCGACCAGCACGGATCAGCTCCAGGCATGACGAAGCTATATCGTCCTCTTTTGGAAGGCCAAACAAAGTAGTTTCGCTTTCACAACGAAGCACACAGCGCCTTCACGACATGGCGGCGGCGGCGGCAACAATTCTACAGCGAGAATAAAAGTTACGCCTTCTTTCTTTGCGTGAACATTTGGGCGGCGTTATGCAAATCTTCCCAGATTGTGACGTAGATATGTGGGGGCATGTTAGAACAAGCCATTTTAGGTAGGTGTGGCTGACTCTTAACTTTTATAAAGAATATCTCTTTGGATTTGAGACTTTAGTCTTTGCAACTTTACAGATCTTCTTTATGCACCAAGAGCTTATAACACTCCAAAGAGAAAGGAAAAATTGAAATCGCATCATATGACCCCTTTAAGTAAGTTGTCTTAGTGGTAGAGTACTTGTATAATATTAAGCATTTATTTATCAAATTTTAATATTTCATAGGAGACTATCAGATATGTATTTTATTTATTGATTTATTAAATAAGACAGCACCATTTTATGAACTTTATCCAATGATTAACCAATCAATGAATAAATAATTCAAACTGTTCCTTTAAGGTATGTATTTAGGTGCACATGCATGTTTAGTATTTTAAGTATTCCATTTATATACGAGAACAAATGCATCATATTAAAAAAGCTTTTTCTTTGCCCTTCAGTTCTGTCTGTCTGATTCAGACTGCGTTGATTGAACAATGTGCCGGGTTCTGAACATCTTATTGGCTCTTCTGAGTCGCTTCCTGTTTGCGGTGCATGGCGTCCTGACAGTGTGGCGTGTAGTGGAGGTGACTGGCGAGCCCTCCTATTGGCTGCTGCTGATGGGTGTGACGCTGCTGGGGGTGGAGATGGCCATCACTATCAAATACACACGCAATGCTGAATGGAAATGGTGAGGTTATGCTATAGTCCTATCAATGACATAAATATAATGACAGTGATGTCACTGAAATTATTGCAGAATTTTACATAAGTTTTGGTGCATAGTGTTGTAAATGAATGTATTGCAACATTTTGTTTGACTCAATATGAAAACAATAAAATAGATTCAAACGGTTGTGGTCGGTAAGATTTTTTAATGGTTTTGGAAGAAGGCTTTTATGCTCACCAAGGCTGCATTAATTTGATCAAAAATAAAATAAAAACAGTACTATTGTGAAATATTATTACAATTTAAACAAAATAGCCTTTTTCTATTTTAATATGTTTTAAAATGTAATTTATTACTGTGATGGCAAAGCTGAATTTTCAGAAATCATTCTAATATGCTTATTTGATGCTCAAGAAACATAATCATTATCAATGTTGAAAACAGTTTTGCTGCTTACTTCTGTGGAAATCATGATACATTATATTTCAGGATTCTTTAATGAATAGTAAGTTTAAATGAACAGCATTTTTTAAGTAGACATCTTTTGTAAAATTATACATTTCTTTACTGTCACTTTGAACAAATTCACTGAATCTTTGCTGAGTAAAAGTATGAATTTCTTTCAAATAACAAACAAAATGTTTACTGACCCCACACTTTTGAACAGTAGAGTAACATGTAGTTTAAACATGAAGATTAACAGCAAGGCAATCAAATTTATAATGACATAATGGCATTACACATTTTTGAGGTCTCTGACCCAACCAGCCACATTATCTGCCTTGTAGATAAAAAAAAAAGATATAATTTATCCAACAATGAATAGTTTATCATAGAAATATTATGTTTTGTGAAAGAAAAATATAATGTTAATTTGGAACTACATGTGGGTGAGTAAACAATGACAGAGTTTTCCTTTTTTGGTGAACTATCCTATTAAGGACTCTTTTCACTAGGACATGATGTGTTTGGCAAAAATAGTTTTACCAACTGTCTTGACAGTCTCAGAAAAAAGAGAATCTGTTATGCCTTTTTTAAAATAACTTTACTGAATTATTCCAAACGTTCTAGTACAAAAAGACACAGGGCTCAGAAGCAGGGTGCCTTAATAATGATTAACACTAACGAGAATGTGGGAAGGTACACTCGTTTCTTCAAGCTCGGCACTTCAGTCTGTCTTGCGGGGACTGGTGATAATAATAACCCCTTCTCTCAACTCAGAAAAAAACAACCTTTGCATTCACACAGAGCAGCACATCATTACATTCAGTCAGACTTGATTCTGTTTTTGGTTCATTTATGTATGTACATTGAGATTGCTGTGCTAGGAAATTTATTAATGAGACTCTACCCTCCCACTGACATGGACGGATGACCTGCTGAGAACATCCTCCTTACCTCTGTCTTTCTCATCAACCTCTTCGCTTTACCATGATCTCCATCTGAACCTTTCTATCTCTCCTTCTCTGCCGTACTACTTTTCTATGCATACTATCTCTCTCCTGCACACTACACTTTGAAGTCTCTGTGCTCTTTAGAGAGGCTTGCCTGTGTCAGTGGGGATTTGCATAGCTAATGGGAGTAATTTGCAGTCTGCTTTGGGCTGGTGTGCCTGCAGCACCAGACTCTGTGGTGTGACCCAGCTTTACCACCCAATCAGAAGAATCTGACACACATACAACTGTTTGGTGGCTTTACTAAGTCGAAAGTAAAGAATAGGCGTGCTCATCCATCCATCCATCCATCCATTAATGTGATGATCCACTCTTCTGCAGGTTCTCACCTATGGTGTTTCTATATCTGAGCACTGTGATTCCCTCGGTCTGGTTCCTGGAACTGAACCTCCTACAGTCCAATCTGCTCATCAACTCGAGTACAAACTCTGACCCGCAATTCTTCTCCCAGATCCCTCTAACAATGGTGGGTGGAAAACAATCGTTAACAATAAAACTCTGACTTGACCAGAAAAAATAAGTTCAGCTTTGAACAAACTCACTCAGGATCTCTGTCTCTCTTTGCTGTGTTTGGTGTTTTAGTACTCATATTTCTGGTAAAACAATAAACATAAAATGCTCAGATGGAACTTGATTAATTCGTAGAAAGCAGACCGTTTTCTGTAAAGTGTCTGCAATTCTGGGAAAAAATCTAATGCAGAAGATTAATAGATTAGGAGTGGTAAAGAGTTCAGTTTCACCTTTGACCTGTGGGCCTTGTACAAAAGCACAAACACTTATAATCAGTTTTTTTTTTTTTCATTTGTAAATTTCATGTCCGCTGAAAACAGCTCGTTTTGCTACTTGATATTGCAAATTGGTGTGTCTTACGATATTATTTTAATGTATTATTTTAACTAGTATGAACACACTGGTTTGTAGTGCAAATAGTTTTATCGTTTACTGCACTTTGTTATTCTTGTTATTTCCCTATAGCTGCTAATGAACTGGAAGTCTCACACATTCACATAAAACGGCTTACTTTTGCGTTGAAAAATAAGGTGGATAACACCTTATTGTCTACAGCAGTTATCAGGACCTGTAGGTCAGGAAAAGGTCAGGAAAGATTCAAGTCTGTATTACAAAATATGACTCTAAAAATATTGAAGCATGTCAATTATTTCAAAAAACTTAAAAAAAAAAATCGGACCAGATTATAATCTTTTTAATATTTTTTTTTTAAAGAAATTTCTTAGATTTAAAATGTTCATTAAGAATTAAGTTCTCAAATATTTTCTTAAGTTCATCTTAATTTTTGTCTTAAGAATAAAATGACAGGCTTTAATATTTGATTGTATAATAGCCAAGTAATGAAGTTGTCTAATACCACAAATTCTACTTAAACACTGGTAAATCTTAACAATAAATTTATTGAAAAATGTATCCATCATTAACATCTATGCTGCAATGCTTAATATTCAAAAGAACCCAATAAATGGATAAAAAAAAATGTCCACAAATTTTAGTTCTTAAAGTTATTTTTTTCTATTGAACAATCTTAAGAAAAACGCTAGAAACATTTGTAAAAAGTATTTTTGGAGATACAAAGTATTTGTAACTTCTTAAGTTTATATCCAAAATCCAGTGTTTTTATATAGTTACATAAAATGCTGCTGATCCTGTCTGAGGTTTTTAAAGGTTTAGACTTTACCTCCATATCCTTCTTACAGCTTTGTATCTGACTAATCAGAATACTTTTTAATATTGATGACTGTGATAATTGTTTTTTTGTCGTGACTTTGTGTAGGTGGAAAGCTGGGTGTTTTGTAAGAATATGCTGCAAAAGCTAATCAGTGACTTTTCTGAAAATCTTTTTTGAAACCATATCATCTCAGTTGTCCTCTTTCATTAAATTAATCCTCCAGTGGATCTTTTGTTGAGGCACTCCAATGAGTCAAAGCAATCATTTTTTCTTTTAAACTGTTTGAACCTTTTTAATCTGGTATTACAATAACATCTTAACAACAGTTTTGATTCATCCATTCAAATTATCACAGTCTTGCTGTGTGCTCTCACTGTCTGGGCTGTTACCATGGTGATTAGCCTATTTGTGGTGTGTGTGTGTGTGTGTGTGTGTGTGAGACAGGGGTTGGCGGAACTTGATCCTGAGAACTGGGTGGAGGCTCTGGAGCAGACCATGTTGATCGTCTTGGTTCTGGGCCGCTGGCTGATGCCGAAGGGTGACATGTCACGTGACCAGCTATCTCAGCTCCTCATGGTTTATGTGGGCCTTGGAGCTGATATCCTGGACATCTTTGACACGTTTAAGGAGCCACAAGTGAAAACCAAGCAGGCTGTGATCATTGTTGGGCTAAGTTTGTTCTCCTGGGCCTTGATGCAGTTTCCTCTTGTTCTTACCCAAACCAGCCATTCCAAATTCCAAAAGGAAGGTCAGTCAGAGGCTGCAAAGCCTGGGCGAGCTGGCTGGACTGTTTCCTGCTGCTCTAGTGAAGTCTGGAGCCTTCTGCTAACGGTGGGTCTGCAGGATGGACCATTCCTGATTTCCCGTCTGTACCTCATGATACGTGAGAATGTTCTGAACCAGCTGATGATCTTCTTCACATGCAAGAACATCCTCATTGTTTTGCTGGAGGTCTACAGGATCTGTGTTGTCCACATTGAGCAGAGCAATCCAGGGGGCAGAACTGAGTCATGTGACCTGTCTCATGGACACTCGGAATGGACTGATGAAGAGGCTATTGAATCCAGCTGTCAAGAATAGATTAGATTCACACTTACTGCAAAGACTATCTATCTATCTATCTATCTATCTATCTATCTATCTATCTATCTATCTGTCTATCTGTCTGTGTCTATCTATATTTAAATCTGTCTGTATAGACAGAATTAAAAATGGTGCCTTCTATGCTTAAAAGTTTTGGAAGGTTAAACTTACTCAAAATCCTATCATAAACATCTCAATTAGATTCAAAGCTTTAGATTCTGAGATTGTATTATTCAAAAAATCTCACAGCCAGCATGGACAGCACAAAGAGCACAATTGGTAGCAGTTGCTGTACCACTTGAGGCCAGCAGATGGTAGTGTGAACAAACTCAATGTAAGGGCAGAGCTATGATGAAATTCAGAAATCACTATGGAGATCATGATGCCTCTTCAACTGTACCCTAACGCACACCCTCTGCACACAGCAACCGGTGACATTTTAGCATCTAACATCAGATCAATGGGTAACAAATCAGTTCCTGAGTGCTTTCTGATATTTGTGAAGGATCTGTCCACAGCTGTCTCATTACTCAAAGTTCAAGCCTTCCTTCTTGCTCAGAACTCTCGTATCTTTTTGACGGTGACATGTTTGATTGAAGTACTGTCATAAAGACCAAAATAGCATGCTAAAAAATCTGCGAGACTGGAATACACAGCTGCTGTCAATCATAGGTTTAAAAGCAGTGGTTTCTTAGAATGGCAGCTAATTAGGATATCAGTAAGAATAAAAACACACATATCATGTACTTTTGTGATTATTGTTTGTTTTGACAAGCTGTCAGACTGCTGGCCAAGCTAAAAGAGAGAAAGAAACCTGATAGACATGAATAGAGAACGACAGAGAGGGAAACACCTCAAAGTGAGCCCTGTCATTAGTACTGTTCTGTCACAAAATCTTTCATTACTGTGATGGCTGACAATGCCTGTGACAAAAGAACCAGACAAAAACAGGGCAACACACTTTCTGTTTTTTTTTTTTTTTTTCTCTCCCCGTGTCTGTCTCTCACTCTCTTCCTCTGTACTCGGCTCCCCGTTAAAATAAATCAGCAACAATCAAAGTCCCCTGAGAACAACCTAACACAATGAACGGCCCTGCATCTTTTCCTGCGACCCCTTGGCTCCCCAGAGTGCACATTCTCATTTTCAATGTCCTCTCCCCAAAATTGAGTGCTCTGTGGATACTGTAATGTGCTGGATACAGCAAGGATGGAAAACGAGAGAGAGTGAGGGAAGGAGAACGAAAAAGGTAAAGAAAGGAGAGTGAAGAGCAGATTGTTGGAGGAGAGAGATGAACTGCATGCTTTAATGAGATTGGAACTCGTGGGAGGAGACATGCAGTCAGCTGATCAAACGGTTAAACAACGACCTGCCCTAGATAGACAGAAGAGAGGAGAAGAGAAAAGGAAAGGAAGGGAAATTGTGCAGCTCTGAACGGTTTGGAAAGGTTCAGTTCCAAAACTTAAGAAAGTTCCTTTTTGTTTAAAAGGTTTGGAAAGGTTCAGAACGGAAAGTGTGCAGGGATTTCCAGTTTGGAAAGGTTTGTAAAGGTTCAAGAAAATGTAAGAAACTTAAAATTAATCATTTACACATTCCTCAACTTTCCTCATAACCTCTTTCTTTTTCAGGACAGAAAATAAGATATTTTGATGGATGTTTTAACATTTTTGTGCACATTATATAGGATTCAAAACAACATTCGAAATCCACTGTATGGACAAACATAACCTTTTTCAAAATGTCGTCTTTTGTGTTTTACAGAAGAAAGTCATAAAGGTTTGGAAACACATGAGAGTGAGTAGACTAAATGATGACAGCATTTTCATTTTTGGGTGAACTAATAGAGAAAACACACAAACCCACACATAAATTATTATTATTAATTATTATGATTAAAAATGAATTATTATTATTAATAATAGTGTTCCTGTGGCTCAGTGGTAGAGCATTGTGTTAGCACTGCAAAAGGTCGTGGGTTCAATTCCCAGGGAACACAAATACTGGTAAAAAATGTATAGCCTGAAAGCACTGTAAGTCACTTTCAATAAAAGCGTCTGCTAAATGCATAAATTAATTATTATTAAATACTTATTTCTTCATATTTTTTAATTCAAAACACATTCTCACAAGTAGCTTTAAATGAACATGTGCATACCTGTAGAACAACACGACAAGAATCACATGACTAAATTTTCCTCTGATTCACAACACACACACAAGCAGCACATATGTGAAAAAGTGGCTTGAAATTGCAACAGCAGGCTCACATTGTGCTGTCTATGTGAAACAGTCCTTAAACATCCACTCACTGCCTCAAAACTCCATCTGTACTAAGAGATTTGATCAGCTCTTGTTACTGTCAGTCCTTTTTACCAAGACATGGAGTAATAGGCTAGCACTTAACTTGAACTATTTTATAGCATATCTATAAAGGATTGAAGCTATGTTAGCGACAGGGAGCACAAAGCACCAGAGTGGTGCAATGTGACAGCTATACATTACAATCTATAAGTAATCTGACAGTAAATGCCACTGTTTTGTAGTACATTTATAAAATACATTTATTTCTCTCATATAAAATCAAATTCAGCTTTCTGCCTATTTCCGCCCTAGAGCTGATCTAAATCGTCTGCAGTCATCACACGTGTATTTTGCATAATTTAAGGCTCATAAATCATGAGCTGTCCATCACTCTCCCTGGGGCATTTTATCAGATGATTCAACATATGACGACATTAACTCTCTTTTCCCGCCCCCTCTGCTGCTCACCCACTGCACTGCACTCACCCGCTGTCACTGCACTGCCATGGATAACAATTAGCAGATTTTGATTATTTAAATTAAAATACCATTTTTTAAAAAGATAACTTTTACTCTGGCTATGCGCACACAGTCTGTGTGTGGGACTGACAACCATATTTAATAGCCTATAAACAGGCCGTTCATACAGAGCGCGTTTTTCTATGTAAACATGCGCTTAATTGGCAGGCGCGTTGGCCTCGCGTCTTGCGATTTCTGCAGCGGCTCCTGCATGCCGTCATGGCGTTCAAAAAGCACGGCTGTCAAGTTAAAACAAGTTCAACATAAAACGATGGGTCACTTAAAGAGCAGGTTATATGGTATTTCAGAGTGTCCTAATATTGTGTTGGAGTCCTCTACAACAGGTTTAAATGCATCTAAGGCCAGAAAACATTGTCATTTTCCCAGAATATACATTTAAAGGGGCCATATGATGTTGCTAAAAAGAACATTATTTTTTTGTATTTGGTGTAATGAAATGTGCTTATGCGGTTTAAAGTTCAAAAAACACATTATTTTCCACATACTGTACATTATTGTTTCTCCTCTATGCCCCGCCTCTCTGAAACGCGTCGATTTTTACAAAGCTCATCGTCTGAAAAGCGAGGTGGGCTGTGATTGGCCAGCTATCCAGTGCATTATGATTGGCCGAATACCTCAAGCGTGTGTCGGAAATGTTATGCCCCTCACCCTATTGTGATGATGTCCTGTCAGGCCGGAGCGATGATTAAAAAACATGAAAACCCATTATAAACGAGGCATTCGTTGCATCCAGTGGGGACATAATTATGGATTATAATGACTTATACTGTCTTTTTACGTGTTGCGTTGCATCGCGCCGCGTAAACATAAAACCATGTCTGCATTTCTCATCAGAGAAATGACAAACAACAAGCCCTACTCTACACTGCCCAAAACTCGCGTTTGAATCGTCAGTGGCAAATTCTTTAAATATAAAAAAACGTACTTACAGTCTGTGAGTCAGAACAGCCGGCATTGTAGTCTACTCTACCAGGATCAGGAAACAGTCCTCCATAAAATGTGCTGCACACATCTGAATATTTGGGTTGAAGTGTTCTGGAACAGTGTTGTAAATACAACTTAACCACTGATTTCTAGTCGTGTCCATTTTTGGAAGGCCAAACAAAGTAGTTTCGCTTTCACAACGAAACACAGCGTCAAACACGGCAGCCTAGAGTGAGCGGAGGCTGGTGGGCTTGAGAACGGTGCGGCCGGCGGATTCGATGAAGAAGCGTCCGACGGGCTTGTGGCAACCACCATGTGACGACCCCGGGCTGGACTCCGCTTCATCCATGGTGAAAGCCGATCCAGCGATCCACAGCGCAAAGTTGTTGTATTTCCTCCGCATCCAGCACGGATGGAAGCCTCCTCCTCTTTTGGAAGGCCAAACAAAGTAGTTTCGCTTTCACAACGAAACACACAGCGCCTTCACAACATGGCGGCGGCAACAACAATACTACAGCGAGAATAAAAGTTACGCCTTCTTTCTTTACGTGAACATTTGGGCTGCGTTATGCAAATCTTCCCACATCGTGACGTAGACATGTGGGGGCGTGTTAGAACGAGCCATTTTAGGTAGGCGTGGCTGACTCTTAACTCTTATAAAGAATATCTCTTTGGATTTGAGACTTTAGAGGAAAAATTGAAATCGCATCATATGACCCCTTTAATATTAGAGTCATTTGCCAATGATTTCTAAATGATTCCTTCCAAGCAAGTTCGGAGCAAACCCCTCCCTTCCATAAGCCTACTCTGCTCTGATTGGTCAGCTGGCCAAGCCTGCTGTGATTGGCACAGAGAGGAGTCATTGAGCAAGTTAGCGAGCGCTACCACTGACAAAGCACCTTTACATAAAGCAATAACATAGTGCTCCAATCCATTCTTAAAATAATGGCATAAAATACAAAACACTTATGCAAGCGAATCGTGCCCACAGCTAAAGTTTAGCTGCTAAACTGTAACGTTAAACACTTAAAACAATAATGGTGGATACGTTAGCCGAGTGCTATATGTCTACTGTAATGTTTGAAGAACGCCAGACAAAAGATGCTCTGTGTCTTAACTTTTAATCAGAACACAGAACAACTGTATCACAGGCGCACCAGCCTAACTAACTCGCTCGTCTCTCCCGCATTAACCCTATAACTGCCGGTGCAGCAAAATAAACAGCAATTAGCTGTGTGCTACACTACATTCTTTATTATTAAACAAAGTAATTACAACAACGTCAGTTTACATTAATCGACAAATTCTTAGGAAATAGTGGGTTCACAGCGAATTATCAGAACTACTTCAGTAAGACAGTAATATTGTGGTAAACACACTAACTAGCGGAAGTGTTTGTGGGCAGGTCAGACTCTAGGGCAGGCGGGGATTATGCAAATGTGTTACCCAGTGACGTATACCGGTAACAGGCAAAAGATTAGAAAATATGATGACTCGTTAAGGCGATTCAGAATCAACTCTCTCTTTTGAGAGACAATCTCTTTATTTATCATGCACTTTTTTGATTAACAACTTTGCAGAATGTTTTCATTTAAGGATAGCCACGTTATAAACTGCAAAAGAGATATTTTTCAAAACCCCATATGACCTGCTCTTTAACGTAAACCCGGGTTCTTTGATGAACAGAGTGAGGTGAACGAATGCGTAAATAGCCCCTCAAACTTCCCGTTTGCACGCAAACAGCGGTTATTCGAGTCGCGGCAAACGATGCAAGTCCCCATTGTTTGTTTTCGCGCTCTCAAAACTGACGGGAGCAGCTCTACTGGAAGACTGGATTTAAAATTGTCGAATGATATCCCCGTTGCTGTGAGTTTTATTGAAATGACACTTTAAAACACATGAAATGCAAAAACGTTGTAGTTAGGATGACAAAGAGTTTTAAAAGTAGGCAACATTTTTTAGAGTGCTCTGCTTCAGGGATCTTGCTGTGCTTATAAGGTTTCCTGCATCTTAGGCAAAATCGTTTACTGTTTACTTATTTCTTTTTCTTTATTCCCTTAAATCCCTTATTTAATTCTTTAATTAATTATTTAATTCCTTTAAATAAAAAGCTCATTGGTTTGGTCCCTTCCAAGACATGGTTTACGGCCTTGAGTGCCAGACAGCTGGTTGTCCAGTATAATATAGCCTATGTTGAAAATGTGGAGTCCTGAAAATGTACAGATGTGAGTTCTGTTATAGAATGCGCTGGTTGTCATTCTGGTAATTAACAGAAATGTGTGGACTGACAATATATTCTGCTGCTGTGTCAATGTGGCCTCTCAGAAAGATGAAGAGGGTGAAATCCAGAGCATCAGAAGCCCAACCAATGACTTAAACTGCTTTAACTTTCCAAAATCCATTATCCAAAAATTCCCAAAACGGTTTATTTTGAAATACTATTTCTGATTCAACTGTGCACTTTATAAAATATCCAGATAGCCTATGCAAAGGAGCAAGTGATGCAGTAAGGTTGTAAATAGCACTACTCAACAAGAACATCTTAACTGTTAAAGAGCATTTTTTCTTTTTGTTATGATCTAAGATTATAATGATTAGCCTATAATGTTTAAAAATATCTCATTCTATTTTGACAACAAATCAACTTCTTGTCACCAAAAAAAAACAACATTCTGGTGAGAAGTGTTTGTGCTGTAGATAAATTCCAGCTTTGCATGAATCAGATGCCCTTGCCTTCAGTTTTGACATGGTTTTCTACACATCATTTAATATATATATATATATATATATATATATTGTATTTGGGCGAATAATACATAAACAAGGAACTTGTTCACAGTTACTATTAATTTTGTTCATTTTGCCTTCATTTGAATAAGAGTCTCCTCTAGAGTTTTAGAGTCTGCAATCATCAGTCAGAGATTTCAGTACGAACTCTCATCAAAAGCACCAGTGGAGGTCGCACCCAACACCTTTTATTTTTTTGATTGATATGTAAATTGAGAGGTCATTTAAGTCTCCTGAGATATGAAAGGACATCCTCTGAGCAATTTTGCTCTGGGCTTGCACTTTCACATTCAGCAAAAAGCACTTCCCCAAAACTCCCGCAGTATTTCCACACATTTTCATGGCTCAAGCTCATGTGCCTAAGGTCTATAATTTCCAGGCAGAGGGCAGACTCGTGGGTGGACATCTTCCTGAATCTTTTCACATGAATTACTCAGAAAACACTGACCATATTGAAGCCATCAACCTGATGACACTTCAATGAGATCATCCAAGAATAATAATGAGATGACTTTGTGACATAATCACTGAGAAATTTGTCAGCATAATTGACCAAATATATTTAGCAAGCATCACATGCAATCAAAAGAATAAGATGCCATTCAGTCATGAGATGATAGAAGACACAGTTCATAATGATAAACCTCATATTTTGTTGCTGCTGTAGTCTACTGTGAACAACCTCTCTCTCTGTGTGTATTAAGAGCCCAGATACTAATTCTAGAAATAAGTTTGACACATTTACTTGATGAATCCATTATACTTGGCTCATCAGTTCTGGAGGCGAAAGAGGGCAGAGAGGGTTTTAATTTGAGCCAAAGTGGCACAGTGGAGCATAATATCCTGTGATTCATTTGTGTAATTGCTCATCCACTCTGTCCATCACAGAGAGAGTTTGGAGTTGTTGACAATGACTTTGTATGCTGAATGTGTGCTTTTGTGAAATTAAACACACTACACTTTATGTTGGATTTTGAAGCTGAATGATCTGCTCTTTTATTTCCTTTAAGCAGTAGCCCGTCTAACAAAAATATGTTCTAAGAACGTTTTTGCTAACGTTACCATTAAGTTATGAAAATGTTATTTTTGAATGTTTTCTGAACGTTCAAAATGTCCAGTTTTTAAAACAAATGTTTTAAAAACAGTTTTTCTTGGTTATATGAATGTTAAGGGAACATTCTAATTTATCATTTTGCAAATGTTATGAGAATGTTACTTTTGAATGATCACCGAATGTATACATTTTATGTATATATTGATACATTTCTAATATACACTAACTTTCAAAAGTTTGTGTTCAGTAAGTTTTTTAATAAAATAAATTCATGCTTTTATTCAGCAAGGATGCATTAAATTAATTAAAAGTGACAGTAAAGGCATTTATAATGTTACAAAAGATTTCTATTTCAAATAAACTTTCTTTTGAACTTTCATCAAAGAATGCTGGAAAAAAATGTATCTTGGTTTCCACAAAAATATTAAACATTTCAACTGTGATAGTAAGAAATAAGCAATGTTTCTTGAGCACTAAATCAGCCTATTAGAATGATTTCTGAAGAATCATGTGACACTGAAGACCGGAGAGCTGCTGAAAATTCAGCTTTGACATCGCAGGAATAAATTACACTAACAAATATTAAAACAGAAAAGTTATTTTAATGGTAATAGTATTTCACAATATTATTGTTTTTACTGTATTTTTATCAAATAAATGCAGCTTTGCTGCATCAATTTTTTTTTTTTTAAATCATACTGGTCCCAAACGTTTGAACAGTGTGTATCTATAAAATCTATCATATAAATATGATTCATTAGCTGAATTAATTAGTCAGATTTTCTCACCTCAACTCCTGATTGTGGTTGAGTCTGTCACACTGAGAATCCAGTTGGAAAACCGCTTCATTTCCTCTTCTCAATAGTTACAGAGTATGTGCAGCTCCTAAACTGAGAGAGGACGTGTTATCTGCACCCTGCACCCTGCCTCCAGACAGAGTCAGTCAGTCAGTTTCAGACTGAGTGCAGAAGGGCTTACCGAAGCCTTTTCAGGGGTGTCGAGTCGGTGATGAAGCTATCTGTGAGCAGCGCTCTGGAGTTTTCTTAAGGAAGGAGTGCAGCTTGAGAGATATATATATGTGCACGCTCTTCTCTCTCACACACACAAACTCGCACACAGAGTTCAAACATCTTCACTGGCAAACAGGAAGATGCATGTGATAATTTGACTTTAAAAGCGTTCCGCTTCCAGAAACGAGTGGAAATATCCGTGGCAGGCCTGAATCTGAGCTCTCAGAAGTACATGCGGTGCATTAATAAGCACCGCTTACCTGTGCAAATTTATACAGACCTACACAAACTGTACAAATAGGGAATCAATAATAGAATTACACACACAAATACACACGTATGAGATGCATACCAGGGCATCAGAAGTATATAGACTGAGAGATCACAGAAAGAATATTCTAGTGATATCATAGCTGCTTGGTAGAAGATTATGGGCAGTTTTTGAGATTAAAGATCTGTAAGGTGCTTTAAATATTTAAAACAAACTTTGAAAAAGTTTGTGGTTGCACTTTTGCAAGATTACAGAAAGATATATCGAGGCCACATGGCATAGCAAACGTCACACTGCATCCTATCTATATTTGTACCCTGAAAAACATTCATCCCTGACAGTAAAATTTGCTTGGTTGAAAGTGAGGGAAAACAACAGCATGAAATTGTATAGGTAAGGTTATTTCTTAAAACTCAGGCTTCACATTGTATGCAAGCAGCTTTTCTGAGATAGCCTGACCCTGTCAAGACTGACAAGAAAGTCAAAGAAGCAAGAAACAAATCTTTTACTGAATACTGGAGACTCCCTGCTCAACAAACTCCTATTTCCAATCCTGTCAGTTTACTGTATCAGTATGTAAAGCTGGGCAGTATTTCTAGTGCAAGAACTGTACGTTTCTGAAAAGAGACCTTTTCCTCCATCTATCTGACCATTACTGACTCTGAGAGAGAGCCTCTAAATTGCATTTTCATTTTAAAGGTGTAATATGTATTATACAGAACGGGGACTTACCAAAGCTTACCAAAGAGCATAATCAGAATAGTCTCAGCCCCCAAACTACCACTTCAAAGTCACTGCTCATTTGCTTTTATCTTTGCTGGTACTGCTTTCTCATGACCTATGGTGACTTTCTGATGTGTTTTTTGGGGAAAAAAAGATCACCCCCTCCTAAAAATGACTTGTAAACTCAGTCAGGTGTAGCTAATCACCTTCTCAATAGCACACAAAGCCATTTGACTTTAAACTGTGATCAGCTGTGGTCATTTTGTTTAGCTCAGCATGAAAATAGCTCTCCTGGAGCATTTCAGTCCTTGGTAGTGCAACTGAAGCAATCAACTATGGGTGGCAAGGCACTGTCAGAAGATCTCTGGGATAAAGTTGTGGACAGGCACAAGTCAGGAAATGGATGCAAACAATTGCAAAGGCTTTATCAATGCCTAGAAGCACAGTGAAGTCTGTTATTAAGAAGTGGAAGGTATTTGGTTCAACACAGACTCTCCCTGGATCAGGACGTCACTCCAAACTGGATGAAAGAGCCAGGAGGAAACTGATCAGAGAGGCTACCAAGAGGCCTACAGCAACTCTGAAGCAGTTGCAGGAATTTATGATATATAGAGTAGTCATTGTGTGCATGTGACAACAATATCTCAAATTCTCCACAAATGTGGCTTGTATGGGAGGGTTGCAAGAAAAAAGCCCCTCCTCAAGAAAGGCCACATGCAGTCAAGACTGAGCTTTGCCCAAACGCACCTTGAAGATTGGAAAAAGGTCACATGGAAAAAGGTGTTATGGTCAGATGACACTAAAATTGAATTCAACACCAAATTATATGAATGGCAGAAATCCAATACAGCTCCCCATCCAAATAACACCATTCCTACAGTAAAGCATGGAGGTGCTGATATCCTGTTATGGGGTTGTTTCTCTGCAGCAGGGACTGGAGCACTTGTCAGGATAGAAGGAATAATGGATGGGGCAAAATACCATCAAATTCTTGAGGAAAATCTGCTGGCCTCTGCCAGAAAATTGTCAGTGGGAAGAAGGTTTACCTTCCAACATAACAACGAACCAAAACACAGCAAAAGTGAGCACACAGTGGTTGAAGGAGAAAAAGGTTTATGTCCTTGGATGCAGAAGAGTGGGCAAATATAGCAAAGTTGTGCAAAGTTAGTAGAGACATATCCCCACAGACTAAAGGGTGTAATTAAAGCAAAAGGTGGTTCAACAAAATGCTGACACAAAGGGGTGATTCTTTTTCCAACTCAGTGATTCTGTTTTTTTATTTTTCCTGGCATGTTGGTGTTGTATCCTTCACCTGGATGTTATAAGTTGTTATAAGTTATATATATATAAAAATATCAGCATCAAAACTTTTAACATCAGAAACTCACCATATATAAAAAAAAGTCAAAATAATCTCAGATAATGTATGAGACTTGTGTGTTAACTTCTGTCAGTAAAGTTGTATGCTAAATGTTTGTTTTTGTTGTTCTCTGTCTCAGAAACATCAACAAAATTGACTTTCTTGGATTCAATCACATTTTCATGCATTGTTCACGTGGCTGGAAACGTGACTGGATTGCCGTCACAGTAACTGTTGTGTGTCCGTGTTTGCCGCTTGATGTCCCTGCGTGTATCCTAAAAGTTATACAAGGTAAATGTATTATTGTTGTTAATATTAATATGCAACATAGCTGGAGTCTTCATCTCATGTGAATGTACATAATTTTATTAATATTTTCCAAAATTGCTGTTCATTTCTTTATGTGCAAAACATTAATTAGCAAAAAATTAAAAGTACACCATTAATTTACTTAGAAAAAAGTGCATATTTATTGGGAAAATAATGGGAAAAATTATGGAATGGAATGAGTGATAAGAGGCTGAACAACAAATAAAAAAAACAACAACAAATTTTTATTATTTCAGGTCAACATTTACAGCATGACTATAATTATCTTCAGTGTATGCTCATTTCTGTAGTTAAAGCAAAGAGCATTAAGACAAGATAACTTGCATGCTGTTTACTGTAAAGTCCTCCATCATTAACATACTTGCTACATTTGGGATCATCTCCACCTGCAGGATAAACCAGAACCCATGTGCCAACCTGAAAAAGACCTTAAATAATATCTCTCCTACCTCATGATTATTCATCAAATGATAGTGTCCATTCATCTGAGCTGCATAATATAATTTCATTATGCATTTTCAAGTCACACCCAAGACAATCTGATAAAGACATTCAGATGCTCCCGGTGTCCCTCCACCATTACCGATTCATCATGCGGTTCACACGCACGCTAACAGTCACACTTGTTTTTCCATAAATTCGAACATAACTCTGGGCTCGTCAGTGGGATGAGATCTCCCGAGCCGACAATCAGAGGAGCAAATTCAATTATGAGCAGCATGTTGAAAAATCCCATTCTCGCTCTGACCCAGACAAGCTGTTGTGTTGCCAGGATGAACTCTGTAGGATAACTTAAGCTGGTTTGATAATTGGATTTGCAGCCATGAAAAATAAGGATGACATTTGTATCGGGGGCAGGAGATTGCGATTAAATGTGTTAGTATTTGCTTTACTAGTAGATCCCGCTGGGAAAAGATCTTTTAAATATTGCACATGGAATAAAAAAATCACTTTGGGGTAATAAATAAATGAGTAAATAAAAATCAAGTCCCTCAGCTGTTATGAATCATGGTGAAAGCGTTTGTCATTTTTAGATATAAATAAAAAATATAGATTGCTTATTTTCCCATTTCCTTAGTGTGGTTAGAAAAGTGGTGTAAGATTTCCTTTGAAACAATTTTCACTCAGAAATTGCTAGTAAATTTAAAAAAATAATTATAAAGAAAAGCCTAATTAACCATGAAATTTTGAAGTAGAATGACTGAAATAGTATTTTCTTGCTAAAAATCCTAATTCCAATAATCTTTTTTTAATTTATTTTTTTACAGTGTGTATATGCCGAGATTCTGAAGTAATCCGTGGAAACGTTGCTATACCATAAGGCCACAGGACCTGAGGAGACAACAGATTCATATGTCAAAAACATAGACATTGGCAAAAAACAAAAGACATTGGCAATATGGCAGATGTATATCTGGTAATGTATTTATGCTACACACCTGCATACGAAATCAGCGGTCATCAGCGGTCGAGGACCACCGAATTCAGAACAGGAATTTGGACACAGCTTATGACACAAATAATGCTGTTTATTCATAAAAATGTATCTACTTCTTTTTACCATTAACCCACTTCCTGAAATAGATCCTCCCCATTCACACATGCAAGTGTTCCAAGGAGAGATATTGCTTCTGGCGGCCAGTGTCCTACATTATGCCATTATGTAAATTCAAAAGATGAGGAAGAGAGGAAACAGACCCAAATGAAAGAAAAAAATAATACATACAGGCTTATACAAAACTGATAACTGACAGCAAAGCCATGCACCTGATAAAGGCCCACACAGAAAGGATGTGATGTCACAGATGGGTTTAGGTTTCATGATTGCCCATGAACATTTGCAATCTGCCTTCGGCAAAACCAGACCTCAAAAGAAATTTCAATAATGGAATACTCATTTTAAATGTTCAAAAAACTTTAAAACCCCATCACTTATGGCCACAATCAGATTTTGCATGGCAACTAAATATTAACCATAATTTTTCACAATCTACCCTCCATATAAAATGACTTTTGTGGTATAATGCATTGAACAGTTAAGACAGAAATGTATAAAATGTGTGCATTTGCCATAAATTAGCCTACTGCTAATTTTTTTTGCTAAATAGATCAAATATAAATATTCATGAAGCCAACATTCATCAACATAAAATAATGCTGAAAATGAGCCATGAGAATGAGAGGCTGACTGAGGCTAAGTACATTCACTCACTCAGACAGTTCTGCAGTGGACTGAAGTCACACGGCTCATTTCTTCAAACCCCTCGCTGCCTCCCCTTCATGGGCCGGTAATTGAAAGTGAGAAAATAGTTTTTTAAAACATTTATTTTGCTGTTGAGGGACAGATAATCATTATATCTTCCTTATAAATCAGCCCCATCTCATCAAAACGTATGATCTGGCACTTCCCCGTAACAGAGGTGATTGGAGACAGTGAGCCTTGTCAATATATTATATCAAACATGCTGATCTGGAAGTGTTTGGATCATGAGGAAGCACTGGAATGGAGGTTTTGGGGTACGGGCCAAACAGGATGAGGTAGAAATAATGTAGCCCAATAACGTTTAGAATCATCAAATAATGTACAGTCAGCTGCAGGGCTGTTATAATTTAGTTTAGTTATTAGTCTGTTTAATAATTAAACTAAAACTGTAAAACAATTTGTTTTACTTGAAATAAAATAAACTTTAACTGGAAAAAAATACAGTTTTAATTTAGTTTATCTTGTACTAAAATAACTAAAACTAAAACTGAAATAAAAATCAATAAACTATATAGGCACTTAGAAGAAAAAAAATGAATAATGACAAAAACACTTCACTAAAATTAATATAAAATATATATAAAAAGGCAGCTTGCATAAGTGATTTATGCATCTACACATCTCAAACATACTATTGCTATTATAATTTTCACTAATATTTTGAATTAGGTTTTATTTTTTAAATTTCCAGTTTTCACTTTAATTTTAATTTAAAATGTTAGTAATTTTGTTTTGTTTTTGTCATTTTTTGATTAGTTGTTGTTTTTTAATTAAATATTTTTATTTGTTTTAATTATTTTCTATTTTTAGTTTTTTTTAGTTTTCATTTATTTTAGTACGTCAAGCTAAACTAAATAAAAATGTGAAACATTGCCTTGGCAACTAGCTGAAATAAGTTACATTTTTTAATTTTTAATTTTTATTTCAGATAATGTTTTTTTACTCATTTATTATTTATTTTATAAGTAATAAAAATTTTTTTTTAATAGTTTTAGTTTTAGAAAACTATTATAACCCTGTCTCAGACAAATATTAGATTTTGATGGCTTTTTCTCCTAATAATTCCATGTAAAAAAAAGTTGAGCTGAGAAAATAATCAGATGCCCTCATTACTGAACATTTTTATATTCTCAAAAAGCCCACACTGTCTAAACATTTATTAATGTTGACAG